ATTAGAGGGGATGTTTGCTTAATAGAATAATCCATTTTAATTCATGTTTATTTTTAACATGAACTTTAGTAACTCAAAACCTTCGAGACACGTATCACCTACTGCATTGTATCATTTTGCTTGGGTGCTTGCTGTGTTGTCAAACTGCTGCTGCTGCATTTACACTGACAGGGGAGTTAAGAACCCATGAATGTTTCCGTTTGACACAAACAAGAGGACTTACTTCTAAATCGTGCACTAAAGATGATTGGAGGAAATATCTCTGTTGCAGTTGATATACTGGAGACCATAACAAAAGCAACGTATAACATCAAAACCAACCATATGAACTATTAGCATTGTTGCTTTACTCTTTTTTCGTGGTTGAGTCTCCTTCAAAAAATTTAGTTTGATTTTAGAAAATTTTGCTTCTGCAGTCCTGTCTTGCCACCAACGCGTTCAGTAGATGGAGATGGCAGAGGCGAAGGCTATTTTTGTGTTGTTGTTGCTGGTTTAGGGATCAGTTTGTGAAGAAGAGGGAGAAGAGAGGGGGAAAGGGAAATGCAGGAGTGGGGGGTAACTCTTTTCTCCGACAAAAATGGAGTGAAGAAAGGAATCATGATCAGTAAGGATATGTTATCTTACATTATTGTCTCTATTCTGTTTGAATTGAGCTTGGGAGGCAGTGATAAGGACAAGCTGCAACTAATTCATAGTGATAAGAGTGCTATGAACTGTGATCGTGTCTTATTTCAAGTTAGAAGGTAGTTTCAGTATAAGGATTATTTAATTTGACAAGTTGTTTCGTCCATGATTCTTGGTAGTTTCAGTCCCATTCTAGCCATTGTTTAGTCTGTAATTTTTTAGAATTGATGTACGAGTAATGACTTTCACTTAGCTTCAACTATTATGTGTGTATTTATTGGCATGTGATAGACTTCTCTTTTCCTTTTCTTTGAATTCGGTTTCATACTCTAATTGTATCATTTGTACATAGGCAAATCATGCTCGAGATGACAACTCCCTGATATGGCTGGTGCAAGGAATGAAGCCATCATTAGAATTCAGACCAACAACGGGGAGGGATGCCCAGGACTAATTCACTGATGATTGATGATGGTATAATAAAAACTGCAGTCTGCATCAACACCAATTTCTAGGCCTAAGTAAAGTTATTCAACCCAGAACTTTGCTTAGTGCTAAAAATTGCCCTCACCCAACCTTGATCCTTTTTGACCCACTTCTGAAGAGTCAAGATATATGACTAATCCTCTCCGTTCGTATTTTCTTATTGACTCTTTCTGACCCTTTAGGTTGGGGCGGGTAGGGAAGAATCGGATTAGTGGGTCGGTCCTAATCAAGTGGAATCCCAATCCCTTCACTCTCACTTGCTTTCTCTCCCATTCCACAAGTGGGTAACATACAGTAATCCGGCCAACGGACCCGGTAATAAGCTAGTTTAAAATAACATCAAAAAACGCACACCGATAAGAAAAGGGGCATAAAGTGGGCCCCTGGTAATTTCACTTCCCTACTTTTCGCTAAGTCCTACTTTTATTAATTGGGTCATTTCTCATTTGTTTTTACTCGAAATTTAGAAAAGAATATATAGAAAGAATGCATTAGATATGATGTACACAATAATACCTATATTTTGAGAAAAAAACAATTAATCAATTCAAAACATATATTTGTTGTAATCTTATCACTGTTATATATGTTATATCGTGATTTTGTTTTTACCACTATAGTAAGACTAACTTCACGTATACAACTATCATAACATAATATTATCTACATACCAGAGTGGTGGGCACCATGTCCTAGTTAGACTTGAATTCTTTCATGAAGGAGTCTGTCAAGTCGTTCCGCTTCTTCAACTTCGAGTGCTCCAAGGAGATGTATGATCGCAACGCATGCCTAGTATCATGATATAACAGTGATATGATGCCACGAAATTATTATATTGTATTTACCCTAATATTATGATATGATAGTGAGAAGACGGCATAAAATTTTTTTGTTCAACAAAAATATTAAATTGGCCATCATCTTGTAGAGCACAAAAAACATAATATTTCTACCCAAAAATTTTGGAAATCTAAAGTAAAACGAATGAGATATGGCTTGTTGAATTTTCAATAAAGGTATAAAAAATGCTTTAACAACACACTTGTAAATCCGCGCCCGCGCCAAAAATCCGCTCAACGACCCAATAAATCCTATCAGCTCTCCTAAATTACTTATTTCTCTTTTTTACCATTTTATGATATGGACCATTAAACCTTTTCTTTCTACATTATAACCAACAATGATTGTGAAACCGTATCGACAATTGTACTAGAAAAGTAAATAATAGGACATTTGTATAAAAATCATGGTTCAACCATTTTGTACCGCTAAAATCACCATGTAAGGTCCAATATCTAGTATTCTCGATTAGACAGTTACGATTGACCATGTCCATTATAACTTTCGTAATATTTTAAATGCTTTTGTATAGTAACCTAAACGACTTTGCAGTTTGGATGCCTACCCATGGTAAATGGGGTTTCCGACCATGGATGCTTTTGTGTTAATAATATATTGCCTATGTTTGGCATGGAACAATGGCCCCACTGAATCGTCTCCCAGCTAACAGAAAAGAAGAAATAGATAGCTATGGATATGGGAGGTACATAAAAGGATAAATGATTTGGGCCCAAATGTACATGTTTTACCTTTCATTTCTTGTCCATTTTGCTTAGTAAATCACCGTCCCTCGATCTATTTTTCACTAGGTTGTGCTTGTTTTGTTACATTTCAGGTCCTAACACGTGTGGGAAGGTCGAGGATGAGTTTCGGGTCAATAGGAGGTCGAAAAGCGCCAAAAAGTGAAAAAATATCCAAAGTCAACTGTGACAATTGCTCTGTGACCGTGAAGCGCGGGCGCCCAAGAAAGCAGCGGTAGTTCACGGTCCAAGCAGCGAGTTTACAGTCGCTAGGACCGTGAACTGGAACCACAGACTGTGAACTGAAGGGCGACCGAGGAGTTCCAGAGGTTACTGACACCAAGTCAGTTCACGCTCGTAAGACCGTGAACTTCAGCTCCAGATCATGAAGTGTTGTAGTGAAACATCGCGAATTGGTTCGAGTACACGGTCGTGAACTCAAACCGTGAACAACCTTCGATCTGGGTATAAAAGGCCGCAGCAGAAGGAAGAAAGGAGAGAGTTTGTTTTTGGAGAGGAAATAGTTTCTTTCTCCAGGGTTTCGACCCAAAACACCAAAGGGGAGTTCTAGAGAGAGAGAGTGAATTCTTGGAGTTTAATTGAAGGCATTGATCAAGCTTGGAAGTAAGGATTCAAGCCTAGAAGAAGAAGAAAATCTTGGGCTCCAATTTGTAATTTCTCTCTTCTCTCTCTAGAAACTCACCCTCTTCTCTTGGTTTAAGAACCCTAGGTCTAGATTTGGGTTTAATGTTGATGTATGTGACACATTCCATGTTTGATTGATGATTTTACTTAATTGATGCATGTTTTCATGAATGACATGAGTTGGGTTTCCATTTTCATGTATTGAGCTTTTGACCAAGGAGGGAGAAAACCCCCTTAGAGCCTATTATTGGCATCTTCGGGTCACTCCTCACCCTATATCGTCCGGGTAATCCCCGAGGGAGACGATTGGATCGATCTCCTACGATATTGGGTTGCCCTAGGTTGAATAGAGTCAACCACATTCATCGATTTGTCGTTTCGGGTCATTCTCGAGGGAGTCTATCTCCTAACGGTAGAGTAATTGAGTCAATCGAGCTTTTGACCTGGGGGGGGGGGGAACAACTCCTCACCTTATATCGTCCGGGCAATTCCAAAGGAGTCGATTGGATCGATCTCCTACGATATAGGGGTGCCCTAGGTTGAATAGGGCTCCTACACATCCATCACTTCACAATTTCGGGTCCGTCCCGATGGAGTTCATCTCCTAACAGTAGGATAGTGGATCGATCAAACTAGGAGGATACTCAACATCGATCCAAGGTCGGGAATAGGGGGATTTAACCCAAGGGAGCTCCAAACCTTGTAAATAGCTAGGTGAGTGGTTAGTCTAGGTTAGTTAGCTTAGTTTTCCTAATCACTACTCTACTTTGGCTAGATAACGAACCCTAAACCTGAAGTAGGGTAAGCCTAGATCCCCGTGGTACGATAAATTCTTATTGCTTGCTTGTCCTATGCTGCACCCGGTCGCCGGTTATACTTGGCCGGCGATTGGGATGTTGTAGTTAGATCGAGTTAATAAACCCCGCAAAAATCATTGTCCAATCAACAAAATCGATGGTTCCCTTTCAATCAATAAACTCAGCCACAATTGTGCCAAAATATTTTGATCCTTTGGCGCATCAATAGTCAATACTAATACCACACCACATTTCAGAAAATGACACAGGCAAGTCGAACCACTCCAAACCCTGGTTCACTATTACTAACTCCACTAGTCGCCGGAGACGGCCCCAAAGATAGTGGCGACTGTGATAACTCAAGCTTCCACCACCGCGTTCTAGCCATGTGGTTCCATGTCAGGGTTTGTGACCGGGTCTCCGAGGATACTTACCAGAGAAATGTCTCTCTTCACCGGGTTACCCCACTAGGAGGTGAGCTTTTTTCTGGCCTACTTTTCAATTAGTTTCATTTGGACGTGAACATCAAAATGGTAGGCTATCGACCATATTTCAAGACTTGGTTCCCATTCGGGAATTAATTTTTCACATTGAATACAACTTTTTTGGCAGCCTGACGGATGACAATGGGTTCGACCTGCTGGCCCTAGAGGAGGACCAAGAGAGCCTGAAATGGTTCGTGGAGGCGGAGCTAGTGAACGAGCGATGGGCGATGTTGAGAGTGGTGGGCATGATGTTGTCGGAGGTGTTCATCAAGATTGGTCATCCTTGCTCTAGAATGGTACGACGCAAGGAAGCATGATTACTTTTGCTTCATCCTCGACACTCTTCGCGATCGAGTTCGAGTTCGATCATACTGTTCCACTACATGGAAATCAGGAGGTGGAAGGACATCAAGAACCTAGGTAGCATGAACCAGGACCCAATCTTCAAGCAGTACAGCTTGCCTCCCAATGAGGTCGGGTACCCGGGTGGGATCTTCAACCCCCTCAACTTTGCGCCCACTCAGGAAGCCAAGGAGAAGGAGCTTGCCAAAGGTACTCAATTTTTGCTAGTCAACTTTATTCTGTATTTTGCTGAAATTCAAAATCTGAATTCTTTGTGCTAAGAGATTGGCTACGTTGTCGTTCCTGGGATCAGTGATCCAACACAATGTGACAAGAAAGGGGCCATTTGAGAACCTATTGAAGCACTTGTCTGATCCCTGTCACAACACCATTGTACAGCCATTGAATGGAAACTAGATGTCAATATTCCGCCAGGCTCCTTTTTTCTACTCTTAGAAAACCTTTAATGACACAAAAAAAAAGAAGGTTTCAAGCTTTCATGTGGAGTATGGCATGGCAGCTACAAGAGAAAACCTTTAATGTACAGGGCAAGTAATAACCATGGAATGGCAATGGTGACAATCTTTTCTGAGTTTTCACTCTACACTACACAATGCTACGGGTCAAAATTGTATGATTGTAGGGATCCCTTTTCTTAGCAGGATCAAGCTAGTGTTATACTTTCTTGGCTAGAACAACCAGAGGTTTCTTTGACTCAATAAAATGCTTGCATGTTATTTCCTTTCAATCACCTTTGAGTACATCACGTTTGCAGAAGGGGCAACAACTTGGAAAAGGGAAAACAACCAATCCTATCTATGTGGAGTGAAACCCACGATCTGCTAACAACTACTCTCCACTTATTTTGTAATTAAAAAACAGCCAACTAAGCTAACTACTTACTAACTCTTTCAACTAGACTACTACAATTGCAAAAGTTGAGTCAAGACTCTAGACACCTACAACAGGAAGCTTGACTTGAAGTCCCATGAGCTGGCTAACCCACGTAGTCACGATAACAGCGGTTATGCTGAGTAGTCCGAGATGAATGACGAACCAAGGGAATGCTCCTTTCGTCAGTTTGAAGATGGTAGGAAGAGGACATTTGTAGCATCGTTATGGACAGCCTTTGGAGTTCCTACCATAAATTACTCATGAAAATTGGGTCACATTCACTGACTATTGATCGAGATGGCCCATGCAACCTGACGATGCAGCAACAAAGTGATCGACCACCGTGCGAGCTGTGTACGGATGAGAGAGTTCTAGAAAGTGGTCGTACTTGGTCAAACGATCAACAACGACGAGGATGACCCTATTCCTTCCTGAACTCGACAATCCATCAACCAAATCCATAGTTATAAATTCCCATACCTGATTCGGAATAGGCAGTGGCTAAAGGATTCTCGATGGACCAAGAGATTGAGCCTTTGCTTGTTGGCATATGTCGCACCTGTTGACGAAACGCTTGACGTCTTGTAGCATGCCTGGCCAGTAGAATTGATATGTGAGTCCCTTGTAGGTGCGTTCGTTGCCCGAATGGCCACCAACTGTCTTAGCGTGGAATTCCTTGAGCAACTGAAGCACGAAAGGGGAGTGGGGTGGAATCACAAAATGGGGGCAGTGAAGGACCATGTTGTTGCAGATGGATAATGGGCCATGAATGGAGGACTTTGTCCTTGTTGCTATTCGCTGCATATTAGGATGGGTGAGGGTCGTATCTTTGAGTGATTCGCATAGAGTTGTGTGGGATGGAGACTCCCATCAACGCGCATTTTGTTGATCTTCGACGGAGAGAATCAGCTGCTTGATTCTCTTTTCTGGGTTTGTAGGAGATTTCGTAATGGAAACCCAACAGTTTGGAGACCCAACTTTATTGTTTTGGAGGTGTTATCTGTTGGCCCAAAAGGTGCTTCAAGCTATTCTGATCTGTCAGGATGAAGAATTTACGGCCCAATATGTATGGCCTCCAAGTTTGGACGGCGGTGACAATGGCCAACATTTCTTTTGCATATGTGGACATCGCCTATTTGGACTTGCCGAGGGCACGATTCATATAGGTGATGGGGCGATCGCGTTCCATTAAGACAACCCCAGTGCCCACTCCCAATGTATTGGTTTCAATAATAGAGGAAGCCTCAAAATTGGGCATTGTTAGGACAGTAGTGGTTGTCATTGCTGTCTTCAATGTAGGAATGCTTCTACAGCTGTCGGTGTCCACTCGAATTGGCCCTTCTTCAGGAGATTAGTCAGAGGATGGGCATTGGAGCCATATCCCCAAACGAACTTATGGTAGTATCCAGGAAGCCCCAAAAACCCATGTAGCTCGGCGACGTTGTTCGACGTTGGCCATTTGATCATGGCCTGAATTTTCCCGGGGTCGACCTTCACTCCTTGGGCTGTGATAATGTGACCGAGATACTCTGGCAAGCCAAAGGCGCACTTAGAGAACTTGACGAATAATTTATGATGTCGGAGGATTATTAGTACTTTGTGCAGTTCTCACGGTGGCTTTCCTTATCCGGACTGTAAACCAGGATGTCGTCGAAGAAGACTAGGACGAACTTGCGGAGTATGGGTCTGAATATTTCATTCATGATGGCTTAAAAAGTAGAAGGAGCATTACAAAGTCTGGAAGACATTACCACATATTCGTAATGACCGTTGTGAGTGCGAAATATCTTTTTGAGGATGTCGGCATCGTTCATTCGCACTTGGTGATAGCCTGCTCGCAAATCCAGTTTCGTGAAGTAGGCTGCTACGTGGAGTTCATCTAACATTAATTTCTTTTGTTCCCGCTTACAAATTGATGTAGCGGTCAATTTGGCGGCGAGGAGGCATCTGTTCTGGTTCCTCAAACAGGTCAATGAAGTCTCGCAAAAGGTCCTGCAGGGTACACGTTGAAGAGCATCTTCTAACGATGGAGGTAATCAGATGGCGCGAAGGATGGGCCCTCCTTGTGAGACTCTCGACGGAGATGGAGAAGATGGGTGAGTCGGTGATGCCACATCGCCTACAGAGAAGACCATCCCATTCGAATCCCATCTCCATTGTCATTGAAAGCGCCAACAGAAGTCCCGGGGAGCTTTAGAGCTTCGATGTCTTTGGAGATGATAAAATTGTGGATTGACCCACTATCAATAACAATAAGCACAATCAACTTGGATCGGCCCACTCGGTCCCAGACCCGCATTGTTTGTCCTCCGGTTTGGCCTGGTATGATGTGGAGCGAGACTTCTGCTGATTCTACTTATTCGAATGGTTCATCTTCTTCTTCCTCATCCAACAACATCATCAACCTAGGCTTTGCAAAGTGATGAGATGGTGTAAACTTCTTGTTGCAATTGAAACAGAGGCTTGCAGCTCGTCGATGGTGTATTTCCTCGTATGGTAGTCGTTTGCCACCAATCAACGGTTGGGCTCGATTGCAGATCCTTTGTGTTGGCTCTGCAACGAGTCTGGGACAGGCAGCGAAAGTGGTGTCGAAATTAGATCTGGGTTTCGACTATGTTGGCATCGTATAGTCCATAGCTGATCGGAACGTCGGCCGTGGGGGATTGCTATGGCGGCTGAGCTTCTCATCTCGTGCACGTACGAGATTGATGGCGTCCTTCAAGGTCTTGGGGTTGAATATGCGAAATTCGTCGGCAATAGCCCAGTCGATCCTTCCCATAAAGGTACCCACAAGTTCCTGTTGAGTCCACCAGTGAACTGGATTGCCTAAATTTGGTGAGGTAATCCTATAGAGGCCCGGTCTGTTTGATTCACGAAAGGGATTCGTCGAAGCTGGTTCCGGTAGCTTGGTCGAATCGCGCACAAAATTTCGAAGAGAAGGTGTCTCAAGTGATGTGTAGGCCTTCCGTATGGTACGTTCGGTGGAGCCACTGCACCATTGGTTGCGTTTCCTTCTAGATGATATGATGCCAGAGTCACTTTCTGTTCCTCCAAAATCTCCTAGAACTCAAAGAACTGCTCTACCTGCAAAAACCAGACGGTGGGATCGTCCCCAGCGATTGTGAGGAACTCAACCCGGTCCAACTTGGCTCCAAAGAAGGGCTATCGATCTCGATCGTCATGATCATCGTGATTATTTCATCATGACTGGCGGTTGACTGACTTTTCTCCATCTTCATGTAGACTTATTCTCTCTTTAGCTGTCTAGGTCATGGTAGTTGTACTGCAGCCAATTGATCTATAAAAGCTTGGAGGCTAGTTTGATTCTCTTGGGTGGCTACTTCGAGGGCTTCGATGCGATTTGCGTCGGTACCCATACCTGGCTCTCATACCAGATGATACGGGTCAAAATTCTACGATTGTAGGGATCCCTTTTCTTGGCAGGATCGAGCCAGTGTTCTACTTTCTTGGCTAGAACAACCAGAGGTTTCTTTGACTCAATAAAATGATTGTCTGTCATTTCTTTTCAATCACCTTTAAGTACATCATGTTTGCAGAAGGGAAAACAACTTGGAAAAGGGAAAACAACCAATCCTATCTATGTGGAGCGAAACCCATGATCTGCTAACAACTACTCTCCACTTATTCTGTAATTCAAAAACTTATGTTATTTATAGAGTTGGGATATGGGTATGGTAATTTAACATTGAGAGAGAATGATTTGTAATTGGTGTATTTTTATGATTAATGAAACTGAAATTTTGATATTTTGTTGATTCAGTGATTAAGGACTAATTCTAGAAATTAAAAGTGTAGGTGTTAAGTTTTTGTTCACTTTTTTGTGTTTGGTAATTAGGATTAACTTAAAATAACGTGACATAAATATTGTCAAACAATGAAGGGTTTCTAAAAAGAAAAAGTGTACAAGGTTAAGTTAAGCAAGTCAATTCTTTGTTAGACATCATGGAGTTGAGAATATAGATAAGTTATATAGGTGGATAGCCTATATTCATGAATGCATGGATAACTTACTTGACTCGCTATGACACAACTCCTAACAATGGCCAAGTGTAACCAATGAAAGGGACTGCACTATAGTGGCACAAGTAATAAATATCGAATTCACGGGTCTCTAGAGTTACTATTACTCAGCTTCAGTTCATTATCTAGCAAACCAGATTAAGATAGAACAACTATGACTACTCTAGCAAACTACAGTTAAAGTTAATCTAATTACAGGTTGGGAACTCACTTACGTATGATTCCCCCTAGCCACTAGCCAGATTAATGATTGATGATCTCTAACTTGTTTCACTTTCATTCACAATGCGGAGAATCCTTAACTAGACCTTGAGTCTCGACTAAAGGAACAAGGCTCTCTTGAGTCAATTGCCTAGATAGACGTATCATTCTCTAGAACAACCGATCAAGGCATTCTGAACTAGATTCCCTCTATCGAATGAGGTTCTCAATCGATACAAAGCAGTGAATCAACCCTCAAATAAAGCAGTCGATCCAATACT